AGAGAGAGAGAGAGAGAGAGAGAGAGGGGAGAGAGAGAGAGAGGAAAGATATGCATGAGCGAGCGATTGAGTGAATGAGTAAATGAGTGAATGTGTTGGGGGATGACACCTACCAAACGCCGGCTCGATTTCTCCTCGAAGGCGCGACGGGTGCCACTATACACACAGAAGCCTTTGTAGAAATCGCCCTGGTCCGCCACTGAAACAGAGACAGGATGCCAAACGTTAAGGGTGCTTCTACTCGTACCGCGTGCGCGCCTAAAATTCGCGCATCGAGTCCTTTTCCTCTTTTTTAAACATCGACACAAATCCGCTGGCATACGATTCCGGTGTCTGCATTACCATCGTCTGTGAAAACGTTCGCAACGAATGCGGAACGAACGCGGAAATTGATCACGCGATATCTACAGATCTGTTGTCCAAATCACGAATGGCATGGATCACAAGCCCAATTTGGACACGGGCGAATTTCCACATAGGCTCCTGTTGTTGTTCTATATTCGCGTACGTGTATCTCTGCGCACGCGCATCTACACTCTCTTCAGACCGATCTTTCTCCTTTCCCTTTTTTGTTCATCTTTCTCTCTTCCTCCGTCTCCGTTATTGCAACGGACAAGGAGAGAAAATCGTTCCGAGAGAGAAAGAGAGAGAAATAGATAGACAAAGAAAGAGAAAGCGGAAAACGGCTGTAACACCAAGCATATGTCCGCGCTTTCAATGAAAATTCGCCGATCATACAACGATTGCTTAGTTGTTCCGTTCCTTCCTTCCTTCCTTCCTTCCTTCCTTACCAATCGCCGTGGCTGCTTCACCAAAGGTCGATTCATTCCATTCATCTTGTGGTAAAGACCGCACGCGTTGCACAGGTAGTGGCCCGTACCGTCTCGTCGCCATAACGGAGTGGAAATTGCGCCGCAATTTACACACTCGCGGCCCTCCGTAAAGTATTCCGCCTCGATGTTGTGCACTGCGCGATTTGTACATTTTCAAAATGGAATCCACATACGTGTGAAAGCGCATACGATTTTCCCTTTCAAAAAGTAAATCATTGGGAAATATTTCGAAACAGTAGGAATTTCACCACGTGCAAACGTGAATGCGAAACGAAGAAAAACGGGGTGAACGGGAGAAGGAAGGAAACAGAGAAGATATGAAGGGAAACGACGAGGCGAGGCGGGAGGAAGGGGGGGGGGGCAGGACGCAAAAATGTACGTGCACGCGTGCCTCGTTTTTATTTTCGATCGTGAAAACTCGCGACATTCGAACGCCTGTCGGAAAATGGCCATCCAGTGAAAGTGAAAAATGCCTCGAGCAAATCATGCATCATTTCGAAACTATTTCACGCGACAACGCATCGATATGTCACGAACGAAGAAATTACCGCCTAATTAGTAATTTTGTATCTTTCCAATCGTTCTCGAGACGATTCTTTACCAATCGGGACGAGTAAATAAAACACGCGAACGTAACAAATGAAAATTTTGCAAAAAAAAAAAAAAAAAAAACTTTACGTGCAATAACATTTAATCACGAATAATTTTTTAATTTTATAATTTATAATTTTCTTTCGATTTTTGAAACATACCTGATATTCGTCGATTCATCATCAATCAAATGGAAGATCACATGGTAGAAAAATAGAAAATTTAACGCAAATTGTGTTCGTACAAAAGAAAGGATACAGGAAAGGAAATAATGCATAAAAAAGGATGTAAAGGGATATGGCGTTATCAGAATTTCCGGTGTTTCTCGATAATAATAACTAGCAGTCGTTGCTAGTACGCATGTCAAGTGCCACGCGTATACCATCGTATCTTCGTTTCACGATCATTTTCACGATGATTTTTTTAAAAATACGAATCTGCGAATCACGTTCGCGATCAACTTTAACGAAGTATATTAGTTGTACATTATCTACAACGCGCCTTGATCTCGTATTACTTCACAAGAGAGCAATATCGAAACAGAGAGAGGACGAAAAGGTCGGCGTACCGTAGTCGCACATCCGGCAGAAACGAGACTGGGAAGCAATCGGATATCGTATATTAGTAAGCAAAGAGTAGCTGACGTCGGCGTCCATCTTACGATCTCTAACCGTTCAACGATACGACACCATCGTGAAACAGACGAAGAGAGGGAGACAGTATAGAGCGAGAAGAACCGTGAACACGAACAGTGTGGAAAGAAGAGAAAAGCGGCGCGAAAACCGTTTGATAACAATCACGACACAATAGCTCGTTGCTACACGCGTTTTTTTACTACGGCATTCTTACATTTTTGTTCCATTTCGGGAAAAGGAAAACCAAAAATACGAAACAATTGGTTACGTTAAATTTGCTGCGTGTTTTCGAAGATGGTAAAAGAAAGGAATTGAAGAACGCATCCTGATCAATGACCACACACAAAAATGTTAGATATATTCTTCGTAACCGAATATTCAACGGTGACCAAGACGCCACATAGAAGATGACGAAGCGACGGGGAATGAGAATGGTCGAGTCGAATTACTTGACGAAGCAGAGCCGTAAGGGGCAGAATGTTGTAACCGACCGTCGCGCCACGCCGGGATAGAGACAACTGTGAGTCCTCCCCTGCCATCGACAGGAGGAGGGACGGAGGAGTAAAGGTGCGCAAACGGAGAACGCAAGAACAAAATATATATACAATATAACGAAAGACAGAGCAAAGACGGAGTGATCGAGTAGCAGGGCAAAAGGATCGAATCAAAGAGATACAATTTTAAATAACAATCCAAGTCCAAATTCGTGTAAGGGGAACAGCGCATATTACAGAATCGGATATTAAACAGAGAAAAGGCCACGTGTAAATAAGTTCGTCTGGAGCGAGCAAAGAGAGACGGAATAGGACATCATTCGCCGAATGATGTTCGATATTTTGTTAGGGTAGGGTAAGATGCAAGAGGGTTCTGGCAAGTCAAAGTTAAACCGAGACCAGGCGCGTGCTGGCAAAAGGCATATGTATATGCATATACGTATAACGGTCGATCATAGATTTGCCGTCGCTGTGGTGCGTAGTCATTTCCTCGTGTGAAGGAAGAGAACATCGGGCCGCATCGGTCCCAGACGCACGTTCAAAAACCACTCGAGATCGCGGTATGTTAAAAGCCGTATTCCTCGTTCCCCTTGACTTTTGACTAAAGTAGTGATCTACGTTGAAACCGCAGACGCACCCGGGTCGCTTTCCAAAAGACCACGCGCCACTTAAAAAGCTTTCGACTCGACTTTCTTCTCCGTATACCCCTCCCCCCTCCCTCCCCTCTCTCCCCGGGCTATCCCTACTCCCTGTATCCCTCTATTCCGAGCTTATCCATCACTACACGAGCGGACGGACGATCGAACGAATCTAGTCGCGGAAAGATTGGAACCGACGGCAAGCGAACAAAGGCGAAAATGATTGCGTTGTGGCGATGAAAGGCACGCACATGTAATATAGAAAGACCGTTCCGTCTTTTTCATCTTCGTTCATACAAATATAGAGGGATCTACGACGTTATGCTCGCAATAAAAAAAAACAATCCGACTTGACCTTTTGAACTGGTCGAGTCCTTCGTCGAGATTGTGGCGTGTGATGCACTCGACGCGACCGTTATCGCGGCAACCGTCGTTATTACAATAACGTGGCGTAAAAATAACGATCCTCGGCAATTACACCGATCGCGAATCGCAAGTGGCCAGACTTTTTTATCGCATTAACGAATAAAACGAAACAAAACGACCAAACAACAATTTTCCATTTGGTGTTCGTTCCCGCATTAGCGTGAGTGAAATAACCAAGCGGTTCCAAGAAATCGTTTTCTTTCTTCGATAGATCAGGGTCATATCGTCGCCCCGAATCGCGTATGACGGCAACATCGTCCGACGTAGAGAACGTAGCGAGACACTTCGTCGATCGTACGATCTATCCATATGGAGAGTTCGATGCTAACTAAAATGCGTTCGCCGTTTGCCGTCGGAGTTATCTAAATTTTGCGGTCCCGGAACAACACGACTAAATACATAAAAGTATATTATCGTTCCTTCTGTATCGCGCGTAGACAAAACTAGATTGGAAGTGCGACTGTTGTCTAGGTCAGGGTCGCATATCAATGCCTCTTTCGATACCGTGCACGACAATCAACCACATGGCACACGCTCGGCAAACGAATCATCCAAGCTAAAATTGTTCGCGTGGTAGCGCATATATCGATATTGGCAAGAATCTGCCGTCGCATCGCGTCGTGTTTCCAATATTTTCGCATTATTCTATTCTATTCGTAATATTATTCGTATGGATATTCCAAGGAATTTTCCAAAAGATTTTCTTCGAAGCAAAAAGCCGTGGAATCGATTCTTCGATTTTCGAAAATCGTGAGAGAAGGCAGAAGCGAAAGCAAAAAAAAAAAAGAAAAAGAAAAAAAAGCAAAAGTGAACATCCAGAAAGTATCGCGATTATCCGTGACTCGCGATGTTCGCGTGGAGACGGAACGAATCGTGTCATCGGTCACGCGTTGGCGACCCGTGCAACCGATAAAGCCCCGACTCGTCCGATAATCGGAGAATTTCGTACCATTGGTTACCATATGTACCTATCCCTTCGTTGCGTGAACGCATGCGTTACGCACACGCGAACGTCAAGTATGTTTCCACTCCGCGTATTTTGCACGAAAGATAACGACACACACGAAGATAGACGAAGGGTGGCGAAGTTGCACGAAATTCTACTTTAATCGGAGTATAAATATAACATACATGCATGTATACACATGTACATGTTGGAACGGAATGAAACATTCTTTTTTATTATTTTTTGTTCCTGGTAATTTATATAGCATTTTAATTTCTATTTTAAGAAACTTTTTATATAATATTTTTTCGAATTTAAACCAGATTTCGAATAGATTAAAATAATTAAAATATGATCAATTCGCGTAGTAATTTTTAATTTATTTATTCTTTCAATGTTAATATCATTTCTTTAGATATTCATCTTGAAATATTTTTTTAATAAGAAAATAATTATACGATTTTGATTTTTTTCGTTCCAGTTATTGAAAAAAAAAAAAAAAGAAAATGAAAAAAAGGGTAAAAAAAATTAAGAAAAAGACTTAGAACTTCTCTTTTTTGATCGATCGATCTTTGAACAAAAAAAAAAAAAAAAAAGAAACGGAGGGAAAACTGTAACGCGATATTCTCCTTCGTAAACTTATAGGGACTTTTATTTGGGCCACCGACGTAGCGCGAGCTCGGAAAATTTGTCACGATGCGACGCTCTCTCTTTTCTTCCCTTGCTCGTTTTCTCTCGTTAACTCATTCAACGAATTACGAAGAAGCAAAGGGAATCGAATCCTTTTCTCGTTATTTACGATCGCAATACGATCCAGCCAGTGCGTGTCACTGTGTTCCTTCGCGTTCCTTCAAAATCGTTCACAATTTATCGCTCTTCGAAACACATCCGTGGCTGGCGTAATGCGACACGGATCGTCCTTCGAGGCTGGTGTATGTATGCTCGACCAAGATCGAAAAAAAAATCTACAGTACAGTATCCGCGAAATTATTCGACTTGTATCTTTGCGAACAACCGAAATAAAATAAAAATAAAAAAAAAAACAAAAAAGGAAAAGGGAAAAAAAGAAAGCGAATTTTTTTAAATTTACCGGCGGAATAGGGAATAGTGGAGATAAATTGGTGGCGCGAGCCGAATGTGCTTTCTTTCCTTCAATGATGCGCAACAAAGTTGTACAACAAAAGAAGAAAGGGAAGGAAGGAAGGAAGGAAGTAAGAAGAGTAGAAACGAAGGCGCAATTTTAAAGGAAAAAAGAGATATACGCGAGAAAAAAAAGAAAGAAAGTGAATGAAAGAAGTAAATATAAAATATATACTTACTCGCGCTAAGACTGGCAGTAGCTGTGAGCTGATGCTGCGCAGGTGTCGACGGAGGGTTAACGGGTTGCCGCCTCGAAGGGGCAGCGTATTGGGTGGCCAGGGTGTCGTTCGAAGGCGAGCCATAGTTCCACGACGAGGGTTCCACAGTCCCAGCCCCGACTCCAGCATTGCTTTGCTGCGTCGGATAAGACGGGCTGTATCCTCGAAAACTCGCCCTACCGCAGAACGGTTGCGAAAATCCTGGCAAGGCCTGATGTGTCACCGTGCCTGTCGACTTGCTGCTAGCACCGTAATCTTCTGAAATAGCGGGAAGTCCTGTTCCTAGACCTGTGTGTGGTTCGAATAATCGGCCGATTAATCGATCGATCGTCCCTTTTCTCTTCATCGTTCTCATCGTATCGAGATATGATCGCACAACAAAAAACATTACCTTGAGCGTTCCACAATTGCTGAGGCGAAGCAGTCAATTCCGTAGGGCTGCCGGTCATGTAAGGAAGGCCGTAAGTGCCTCCTGTTCCTGCCGCGCTGGCCGCCGTCATACTACTGACATCGCTTATTGAACGATACAACGAACTGAAATAACGAACAAACTTGTAACGCGGTTATAGAACGCGTGAAACGGGTTCTGGTTCGATGACTATAGGATATATACTCGATGCACGCCCCTACTCTTGGGAATTAATCCGACCCGACCGAATTTCATTTGTTTTCATTTCCCCGTGCGTCGAGAGAAAGAAAGAAAGAAAGAGAAAAGGGAAGGAGAGCACGGGAAAAAGGAAGTAGGGGAGAAGTAGGAAACGAAACCTCGGTGACACGGGTTCGATGATGTTTCGCGGGTGACCGGAAACTAGAAAACCGTTCTTCGATCCATCGGCCCGTAAATGCGGGCGCGTGCCACGGCAGGACGTTTTTCGTTGTTCCTTACCGACGAATGTCTACCCGGAACACAACTACTCCATTACCATTGCCATCACCATTACGATGCTATTAAGGCTACCGTTACCATTAGCCCATTACCATCGGGACCCCTTCGTACCTGAGCTTTCGATCACTTTAAGAAATCGCATGAGTACATCGGCTCTCTCCGAAGAAAGCTACCAAATACTGATCGTAAATGTTTGCATTCCTTTCTTTTTTTTTTTTTGCGAGAATAAGAAACACGGTTTGTAGTCATAAACCCACGTAAACCAAAATTTCCGGTTGTCATATTCGTTGCGCAAATATTCGTGGATCCGAAATCGCGTGACTCGTGAGCGTCGAGTCGTCACGATTTCGAGAAAAAAAAATCAAATGTGTAAAAATAAAACGTTACCGCGCTCTTACCGTGTCACACGTATGTAAATACAAACCCCGCTCCGCTCGATGTTCTCTCCGGGCATAGTTGTGATCATGAATCGACGATCGAACGTGCATCTTTATCGCCGGGAAACGCGTTCGACGCATTGAACTTAACGAACGTGGCGGACACGTTGCGCGACGTAAAGCAAAGCAAAGAAACGCGCGACCTTGACGGTTTCCATGACTCGACCGACACGTACTGTTCGATCGGTACGTGCTCGCGAGACGATTCGCGTATTCTCCCGGAACGATTTCGAATGAAACTGGTTCGAACAACGGTATTCTCAGTAAAAGAAACACCGATAACAGAGCAACTTCGTCCTTCGGCTGTTCCAAGAGCATCGTTGTTCAATTTGTAAATTTCCTTTGAAAACTGAGAATGTAAAAAAAAAAAACGAATGTTTCAGATGTTTTGTTTTTCAGACTTCAAAGTCCGTGCGCGCGAGATGAGATCCTTCGATAATAGTCACTATGTCCGTCTCTTTTCAATTCGTCCAAGTTCGGCAAAGTTCGTCCGAATTCGTATAACCTAGCCAGAGTCAGAGCGTAACCATTGTAAATTCTAACAAAAATTATGCACTCAATCCTTATATTCTTTTGTTCTTTAAACTCGATACGAGCCGGAGATCAGCGAATCTATGAAGAATGTGTATGAAGAAAAAAGTTCAGTTGTGTAACCAAGTTCGTCGCGAAGGAAGGAAGCGATACGCGCGCGAGCGCAGCACGTGTTACGAGCTAATTTCTACGACACGACACAGGACACAATGCGGCACCCATGCGCATCGACGGGAAAAAACGTTGTTTCACGAGTTCATCGCGGATGCGCCTCGTTTCACGGACACGCGACAAACACCCTTGCTTTTAAATCGTTTCGAATTATATATTTTAATCTAAACCTCTTCCCCAATCGAATCTCTTCTATCCAAACAGTTCGATCACGTTTATCCTATCTTATTGTTTTACACCATTGGAAATCGAAACTAATCGAGACCGATCGGTCGATTTCAAATACGATTTCGAAGAAAATTGTTGGTCGACGATGACGCGATACGCAACCTGACCGGAAATCAAGACCACTCGGCTCCGTTAGTATAAAACGCATACCGATTCTCCTCGAACCAGTGCGTAGGCAACGTTTGCCCACTTATATGTATACACACGCCATGTACACAATGCGATGCGATGCGACGCGACGGCGACGTACACCACGACGATGCACACCCATGCCCGTCCCCGGAAACTTTAATAACTAAGCGGTCGGATTTCTTCCAGGAAACTTTCCTCCCAATCGTTGCCGGTTGCCAACTCTACTAATCTAGATCTTACTCTCTCTCTCTCTCTCTCTCTCTCGCATTTTCGAAGTTTCGATCGATTCTTTATACGATTCTAAAGCAAACGCAATGTGTAACAATTCTTTCTCTCTAGTTAAAAGTGGAGGAAAGAGTAAGGAAAGAAGATATTTTGGCCAGTTCGCGAAGAATGCAGATATCGCGAAACCCAATCTAGAAGGTCGGTAGCGACAGGGTTATAGCCCCTGTTACTGGATCGCTATCTGAATCCACCGACTCGATAAGCCGTTTCTCACGATATCGCGCGTCACCGGTGGTGGGAAGAGATCCGAGATCCGAGGTAGTCGGCGTTGAAAAAAACCATGCAACGTCTGGCTACACCCCCTTCCCTCTATGAAGAAGAGGTTTACAAGCAAAAATTATAATATATCTTCAACATGAAATAATTCGCGAGAATTATTGGGGAGGGAAG